TCAGTGCTCTACTTCCCTGTCTCTGGAATTGTAATCTCATGATAAATTGACTGTGTAAAAAGAGTTCATGAGCCAGGCACCCAGAGCAATCATCACAGATTGCTATGCCAGCAACACAGAAATCTCTTGATGAGGATGAGAGAAAACACGGATCGAAACACAACAGAACAATACTTTCAGGTGGAAGTGAAGAGTGGTCTCAAGTATGCTTGTAACATGCCAATGTCTTCTGTAATTGCTGCTTTCCTCTGCAGGCGTTTTTATTTATTTATTGCATTTATACCCTACCATTTTCTCCAAGGCATACATAACTCTCCCCCTCCCCTGCGAGGGAGGTTAGGCTGAGAGGCAGTGACTGGCCCAAGGCCACCCAGTGAGCTTCAGGGCTGAGTGGGGATATGAACCCTGGTCTCCCAGGTACCAGTCTGATACTCGAACCACTACGCCACACTGGTTATACGCTATCATACATAAGAGAACATTTTTTTGTCGTTTCTGAACCCATATGCAGATATCATGCAACCAAACAAGCCAACAACCTCAGCCTGGAGCCTGGAGTGCCACAGCCAATCAGTGGAGACAGTACTGAGCTAGATTGGCCAATGGACTGACTCGGTCTAAGGCATTTTTTTCTGGCCTGTATTCAGTGTAGGGGGCGGGTCCGGTTGCACAAGCATAAATCTTTGACGGAATGGTTTGTTAGCACTACATTAGCTAAAAATCTATGCTCCTAATTGGCTACTTTAAAATCCTTCAATAATTGCATACAGTTCCGTAAATCCAAATGAGAGGCTTATTTAAGCAGGCTTTATACCGATGCAAGTTGATCTAAACTAAACAAGTCTTCCTCATCTGTACAAAAAAGTAGGCACACATAAATATGGACATTTGTCAATGGATGTATATAAAACTTGAATGCAAAATGATTACCGTATTTTTCTGTGTATAAGACTAGGTTTCCCCCCCTAAAAAAATAATGTCAAAATTTTGGGGGCGTCTTATACACAGATACATCTCTCCCCATTTTCTTAAACCGGAGTCCTCCAAAATAGACTGCCCCAAGCAGTCTTATACATGGAGGCGTCTTATAGACAGGAAAATACGGTACTTACATTTGTGAGCCAACCTCTATTAAGGCATTAGCAATCTAGAACTGCCACACTAGTTCACACTTTTAAGTATCAAAGCATACAAATTTCATCTTAACATTCGTAAACAAGGTTGAGCCAAGATGATCTTGGCAGCTTATCAAATGCAGCAGGCGCAAACAAATTAAGCATTTCACTTAACTCTTTGAAAGTTCTTGTTTCCGTGTCTTCAGTCATGACATCGTGAAGCCCTTCTACGGAAATGTTTATGATGCCGCAAAATTTATCTTGGATAATACTGGAAAAGAACAGGAAAACGGTTTAGCTCAACTAACAAAACAGGAAATTTCCTCGGCACTTTTTAAAGGGAACACCTCTGGAGAGCGACTTCCTTTAATTTAGAGCTTAGCCAAGTAAACTCGCAAGCAGCAACTCCAAACTACAGAAACTTCTGTAGTTTCTGTCTCGTAGGCAACTGCAAAACTGACCATAGGGAAAATGAGAGAACACACACCAGGAAAACAACACTTGCATAGCCCCCTCCCCAATAACTGGCTCCAAGCATTTACCTGCCAAACAGGTTTGGCGTGGTTTGCTCTGACAGTGCCAATCACATATTGGAGGAAAGGGGGTGGGCTGGAATCAATCCTCTTGCCCCAAGCAGTTACTGTTAAAACTGACAGCACCGAACATCTGTCACGCCTGCGTGTGAACCCAATTAAAAGCAGAAGAAATGAAATGTGTACACCGCCCCAAGTGCTATATGGAGGGGGTCCATCGACGGGAACGATAACTGAGGATCTGATCTTGAATATCAATTTACAGGAAATCCTCATCTGAAGTGCTGATTTCCCCGTGGATCGGAGGAAAATCTTTAAATGCATGGCTTGCTCTGTGGCAACTTGAATTAGTAATAGCACTGGTATGTCTTGCGTACAATTAAATTCAAGATGCAGACACTCATCTCTGAAATTGTTGCTCAGTGTCCACAACTTGTGGTTAAAGCTCAGAATTAATGTATGTGAAGGACCTAATCTGTCAGCCTGATCCCATCTTGGGATGCCTGCAGGGTGCGTCTCTCTCTCTATTATGGCTGCTGCAAAGGTGACCTTTTTTTATTTATTGCACTTCCTTCATGTCCAGGGGTTTCGCCAATGAAGGGGAATATAAAAAAAAATGCAATGAAAGATGGTGACTTTTAGAAGCAGAAGCATTTTATTGAATCTCAAGAACATATTTCCCCCTCCAGAATTTTCCAGAATCTTTCATTTTAAAAGCAACAGCCCAGGTTATGGGTGCAAGTCTAACCCCAGTTACTTAAGAGTAGGCACCACTGAGTTCAGTAGGATTTCTGAGCCAGTGTGGTGTAGTGGTTAAGAGCAGTGGACTGGTGAACTGGGTTCGATTCCCTGCTCCTCCACATGCAGCTGCTGGGTGACCTTGGGCTAGTCACACTTCTCTGAAGTCTTTGTGGAGGAGGAAAGGAAAGGAGATTGTTAGCCACTTTGAGACTCCTTAAAGGTAAAGGTAAAGGGACCCCTGACCATTAGGTCCAGCCGTGACTGACTCTGGGGTTGTGGCGCTCATCTCGCTTTACTGGCTGAGGGACAGCCAGCGTACAGTTTCCGGGTCATGTGGCCAGCATGACTAAGCTGCTTCTGGCGAACCAGAGCAGCGCATGGAAACACCGTTTACCTTCCTGCTGGAGCGGTACCTATTTATCTACTTGGACTTTGACGTGCTTTCAAACTGCTAGGTTGGCAGGAGCAGGGACCGAGCAACGGGAGCTCACTCCGTCGCGGGGATTCGAACTGCCGACCTTCTGATCGGCAAGTCCTAGGCTCTGTGGTTTAACCCACAGTGCCACCTGCATCCCTTGAGACTCCTTAGGGTAGTGATAAAGCGGGATATCAAATCCAAACTCTTCTAGCCATAGTTAGGATTACAGCGTAAGGGTCCACCAGCACTATAAATTTAAAGCAGTATCATATCACTTTAAACGCTCATGGCTTCTCACAAACGAATCCTGGGAACTATAGCTTGTTAATGGTGCTCAGTTGTTAAAAGACCCTTGTTTTCCTCACAGGGCTGAAGTTCCAAGTAGTTTAACAATCAATCCCTCTCTCCAGGGAAATTTAGCTCTGTGAGAGAACAGAACCCCTGTGTGAAATGGTCATTGCCTGTAAAGCACAGAAACATTTATTTAGTGGAGATTAGGGAGATGAACTTTACTGACGTCCTCTCTGTGAATTGTTTCCATTCCAGATGGCCATTATAAGAACTAGTGTTTAACTTTGAGAATTGGTGGTCGAGGTCTGCTTGTTTTCTTTCACATCCCTTTTCCCTTTGGGGTCGTGCCTTTTAGATCACGAGACTGCAGGCAGAGACGGCCCCGCTTTTATTTATTGTGAGAGAGCTAGTTCAGCTGAAGATGGAGTAAAAATGTTTTAAAATAAACAAATAAGGAGAGGACAACTGTAGCCCTATTTGGGTATTTGAGCAAACACGTGAGCGCTTGAATAGGGAGCAGTGGCATGCACAGGAAACCTCTGAGTTCCCACATGATGGCTGAACTTCAGGCCTTCGTATGTTCAGTAGGAAGGTTTGAAGAGAGTTTCTAAGTACATTCAGTTCGATGCACCTAGAAGCTTCCTTTAGAAGGGTTCCTGATCACGAGGAGGTTTGTGTTCAGCCAAACAATGTTTAAAAGTATCAATCGGATCCTAGTGCTAAACAACTGAATATTTCGGTTCTGAATACACCTTGACCAAGGCACACCGTAGTATTATATAAATTGATCAGAAGGCTAGGGATCAGTTATGTGTAGAGGATTCTGAGTGGAGTAGCAGTAGAATCATAGAATTGCAGAGTTGGAAGGGATCCTGAGGATCATCTAGTCCAACCCCTGCAAAGCAGAAATATGCAGCTGGCCCATATGGGGATAGAACCTGCAACCCTGGTGTTATCAGCACCACACTCTAACCAATTAAGCTTGATTCTCTTCTCTTATACAGTGGTACTTTGGGTTACAGACGCTTCAGGTTACAGACTCCGCTAACCCAGAAATAGGACCTCGGGTTAAGAACTTTGCTTCAGGATGAGAACAGAAATTGTGCGGCAGTGGCATGGTGGCAGTGGGAGACCCCATTAGCTAAAGTGGTGCTTCAGGTTAAGAACAGTTTCAGGTTAAGAACGGACCTCCAGAACGAATTAAGTTCTTAACCCGAGGTACCACTGTACAAGTCTTTGAATTCGGGTTTCTATGATTTAGGGAATGCTGCTGGCAACCTCGAAAAATCATCTTTGAATTACTTCCAAGACAAAACTGGTTTTATGTAGTCAAGTTTGCACACTCAGGTATGATTGAGATACCCTCAGTACAGTAGTACGGATAGGTCTCTTTCATTTTCGGAAAGGAACTGTCAGATCTGCTTGAAAATATGTGCTGGCTTGCCTCAAATGTAGTAATGCATTTTGTGTTAACAGACATAGGCCCACCACTGCTCTTCTGGTGTTATGTGTATATTGATATCTTGAATGTATTTCATTTTTGTGATTCTTCCAACTCAAAGGGAGTTGGAAAGATCACAGAAAACAGGTGCGCACACTTAACTGTCCAGCAGGCACAGATAATGTTCACAGAATTGTAGAGTTGGGAGGCAGCCCCAAGGGTCATCTAGCTCAACTCATACAGCTCAAATGCAGGAATCACAAGACTCAATTTATGCAATGACAGACATGTACATGGGCCCTTCTGAAAACAGAGTGGGTAGCCACACAAGTTTTTCATGTTGTCAAGGCAATCTGAGTATAATTTTTGGATGCCATAATTACCTAATCCACTTTACCCATCTGATTAACAAACAACAGTTACAGAGTCAATGGTAATTAAATTCCTCTACTAAAGCATAATTCATTGCAAAGATTCATGTCATCTATTTAGAATGGAATCCCATTATCACAAACAACCATGTCAGCACTGGTTCTTTCAGCTCTCAACACAGATAAGTGCTAGGATGTTGCTCTCCCATTCCATTTTTCCAGCTACCACAGTTTAACGTTAAGACGTTCCACGGATAAAATGAATCTCTCAAAAAACATCTTCAGTTTGTGATGCGAGAAACTGCAAAACGTAGTATTTCTTACAATATCAACAGATTTTCTTATAAATTTCTAACTTTAGTTAGTTCTGTCTATGTATCCAGGACAAAGATCTGTCATGGGGAAAATGCAGGCAGTTGATACATTGGCAACAGACTTTAAATACACATAAAACAGTTCATTAGAACAAACATACCTGTCCTGTTAGAATGCTGCGCTCTGTTGAGTAGCATGGTGCATTACAATGTTGCTGTTATCTCACAGTCTCTCCCCGATAAAAGCTATTTAGTTCTACAAGTAACTGAGTTTCATGATGCTGCCAGCTACAGTTCAGTTTTACTTACTCATTTGTAAGTTGCCTTACAGTGCTCCTAGAATCATTTAATACAAATAAATATTTGAAAACTCTTAAGATCCTGATAGATAAGGACTTAACATCTGATATAGGTGGCTAAACACATAGGGGTGCAAAGTTAGTTCTTGAGGAATGATTTTCCACAGGCAGACAGAACAAAATGGAAATGTATATCTCCCATGATATTTTTGCCTAAGGCTGTTGTCATGCAGCAGTTAGCTTGGTGGCAGACAGATGGCGCTGCAAGCTACAGTGTGACAACAGCCTTCTGAGAGCTGCCAGGCCTTCACAGCAGCAGTGGCCAACTCAGGCATGCAGTAGAGGTTACAGTCATGACAGGCTAGGGCAGCCACCACTGTTGTCCACCTCATGGGAGCTGTTTCAATGGGCAGCAGGAAAGCAGGATGGAGTTGCCCCAGCCTGTCAAAACTATTCCTCTATAACTCGCTTGGGTCACTTGCCACTGTCCCCTCCTCCTCATGGAAAAAGATCTAACTGTGGGGAGGGGCAAGGAAGGCTTCGGGAGGTCTCACATGGGAGGATTCGCAAGAGCAGTAGGTGGGGCTGACATTCCAAAGGGGGCAAAAAGAAAAGCTGGAGAGGATCAAAAAGCTTGGAAGGATCAGCATGAGTCAGGCTTTCAGCCACTGGCTTCAGGATTTGGACAGGTAAGTGGGGCAACCCGCTTGTCCATCATGCACCAAGTATGCTATGTCAGGCAAACTCGGCCCTCAAGATGTTTGGGACCACAACTCCCATCATCCCTAGCTAACAGGACCAGTGGTTGGGGATGATGGGAACTGTAGTCCCAAGACATCTGGAGTGCCAAGTTTGCCTATGCCTGTGCTATGTGATTGACAGATGACTTGCCCTGACTGCCTGTTAAAGGTGGCCCATGCTGCTGGAGCCTTGGTCTAATGGATTAGTACTGGGTGAAGAAGGGCTGGGGAAGTCTAGTGGGTGGGTGGGTTTGACAAGGGGTGATGCAAGCGGTGGCCCTCATGTCTGTATGCGTACACACACAAATTCACAAAAAGTTAAGTTTCATACAAAAAAGCAGCTATTAAAATGACAGCAAATATGGCAATAGTCGAAAAAGACAGGCTAGATCCCCCCCCCCATATCAGTTGTTGAACTTTCATCTACAAAATATCTCACGCTGTTGCTTTATAGACTTCATACATGCAGCCACAAAAATCCCTGCTGAGTATATTACAATGCAGAATGTTCAAATAAGATAACCTGCGCTTGGCTTTGAAGTGCTGCTGGTTTAGGAGGCTGACCGTGGTCCAGTTCTGAACTTCCCAGTGAGTGCTGAGGTACAGGCTGAGTTGGATCCGTTATGCTGTAGCTTCCAGCTTGATAAAAGCCATAGTATTCTATGCCATTGTCAGAGTCATTTTGCTCTTTGAGCTTCTGCCTGAACTGAATGATTTTGTAGATCAAAAAGAAGATCACAGCACAGGCCAAAATAAAAAAGGTTAATAAAATGTCAAATGCCTGATGTAGTTTCTCGACCTGCTGTGTGCAGATTAGAGATGTTTTCAAGGAGACAGAAGTAGATTCTGGAGGAGATGCTCTGCTTTCTTCCATGGTCAAATTAACAGGTATATTCTGCGCTGGTATTTGCACCGTTAGCACTGAGAACACTATAGCTGCCTGTCTCAGCTTCCTGCTGGAATAGGTTCCATCCAGATTTTGAGCAGCTGATGAGGTCGGCACTTCTGCCCATAATGTAACTGTATTTGCTTCCACATCCTTTGAATGTTCATAAACTGCATTGCTTGAGGGGGGGTTATCCGATCTCATCAATAAAGTAGTGGTACTTTGATGGATACCTGCTGGCTTTACGTTCCTGAATATTCCAGGTCTTGTGGTAGCGTTGAAACAGTTTGCAACCAAACCCCAGTTGGCATAATTCAAGTGCCTTCCATGCAAATAGGAAGGATTTTGGCAATGAATTTTAATAGAGATGGAAGAAGATGTTAGCCAGTTAATTAGCCCAAGTAATCTGCAGCTACAATTCCAAGGGTTGTGATTTGCCTGTAAGTGAGTTAAAGAGACCAAAGGCTTAAGCACTCTAGAATGCAAGTCTGTAAGATTATTAAATGCTAGATTCAGTATCTTCAAAGAGGATCCCATTTTTTCAAATGTATTATCTGCAATCTTGATTATTTTGTTTCTATCGAGTTGCAGAAACATTAACTCCTCCAACAGTGCAAAGGTACTGGAATTGATGTTTTGCAAATCATTATTGCTCAGAAGTAGCTTTTTAAGATTATTTAGACCTGTAAAGCCATTCACATGGATAGCTTTTATTTTGGCACTTTTTAGAGATAGATGTTGAAGCTTGTCAAGTCCTCTGAATGCAAAGGGAGGTATTGATCCAATCGGGTTATGTGACAATGAAAGTCTTTCAAGATTGCTCAATGCAGCAAATGCATTTGACGGCACACGTGTTAAATTGTTACCGTCAAGGTACAAACATGTGAGGTTGTCAAGGTGACAAAATGCCGAGTGTGATATCCACGAAATCTTATTGTTCGCTAGGTTAAGAATCCGAAGACTAATCATGCCGACAAAAATGCCACTGCCAACAATCCTGAGACGATTACTTTGCAGCATCAGATATTGAACTGAAGCAAGATCACTAAATAATCCCTTGCGAACAAAAGCTATTTCATTATTCTGCAGGTATAAAGAGCGAAGCTTTGAAAGTCCTTCAAATGTTCCAGGATCCAAGTGTTTTATTTGATTATTATTCAGACGTAGGTACCACAATTTCTTAAGTTCAGAAAATGCCTTTGGGTACACATATAAAATGCTAGAATTATCCAGGTGTAGCACAGCCAGTTGCCGGAAGCCTTTCAGTTCATTTGGATTTAGGTGTGATATGTTATTCCCACTTAAATATACAAAGACGGTATGTTGTGGGAAATTCTTTGGAACAATGGAAAGAGCTGAATCACGGCAGTCAGCTTGTCTGCCTCTACACTGCTGGCAAACAGATGGACAGCAAAGTATATCCTGGATCAGCAACAGAAATAAACAAGGAAGAGAATTCCAAACCAACTCAAAGGGGTGAAGTTGACACATATCCCAGACTTTGAGTTTTCCCGTCATCTTTGATTGTGCTATCAGGGGGGAGAAAAGTTTTAAAATGCTTATTCAAAACTCTCCGATTTCATTATGATAAAAGCATGCAATATTATAATGTTATTTCTACTATTTTGTGAATGTTGTCTCTTATACTATTGTTCTCTGGCTTGTAACTATGTCTACAATTTATTAGTTTATAAGATGGTTATAAACAAGATGGTTTAACAATCTCACCAGTTAGAATTTAAAAGTAATGTAAAACTAACAGCTTTCAGGGACAGAAGCTCCTTAACGGCTTTTTAATGAGCCATCCCACTTAAAATTCATCCCACTGGTAACTTCTTAAACTTTTAATGTCACTTTAACTATTCCAAGTTTAAAGTATATTAAAATAGTTCTCACCTAGAATGTGATGCTCATTTTATCAGCTAAAATTTCTTCTTCTGTACCACAGTAAAATTATTAGTACATGTATACGCTGGAGTTTAAGAACTTTCTAGACAACGGGCTAGTTTCTTACGTTTTGTTGCAGGTTCTGCAACTGTTCCTACAGGAAACATCTACTCTTCCCCACTGGCTCCTCCACAATGACTGGTTAAAATAAAGTTACCATGGATACAGGAAACTGAGAGACAGGAAGTTATTTTATCTGCAGTTCTGAAGGACTGTTGGGGAGGGGGGGAAATCTCTGCAATTCATTCCTCTAAAAATCAGTTGGATTTATTTATCTGTCTTCCCACGGTGCTGATAATAGTCCATATTTGCTTTATATGACTGTGTATAATAAAGACTGCATGTGCTGAAGCTAATTTAAGTATAAAAACAATGTAATGTGTGATGTGTTTATAACTAGTTTATAACCAGTAAAAGCAACTGTTCACAGGAAAGAAAAAGACAATGCTCTTAAGTTGACTCCAGCACTTAGAAAGTATTATTCCACCAAATCAAATACTGTAGTTCAAACAGTACTTGTTTTATACTGAGTAAAACATTTTTTCATCTGTATTTTATTGGAGCACAAACATTTTTGACACAGGGAAGAGCCTCAGGTGACCAATGTGGAAATGTGCAGCAGAAGAGACTTAATAAATTGCCTTATGGGGCACACTGTTGTAAAAGAAACAATTTCTAATTTATAGAAAAGGTAAGATATCAAAGTGCTACTAGCTAAAATGTACCATAAGCTCTCGGTGCTATTACATAAAATTTACTGTAAGTGGTCCTTGGGGAGTGAGCAGAGGCTTTTGAGCTATAATAGCAAATAGATATGTGTGAATCCCTCTTTCCAATAGGAATTAGGGCTTAGAAAAGAACCTGGCAAATCAGCGAAGATCTAACGCAGTATCTGTAGGTTTTATAAGATGAAATGACTTCAAAACAAAACAAATCGCCACCAATATCCTAAATCTGTAGGCACATAGGAAGGTGGGGTTATAATAAAGTTGTAACATCACTCCAGTTAATACATTTAGCTGAGAGAAGCACTGCAAGCAGTATGATGAAGAAGCAGACAAATAGACTTCAGGGCATGGGTTGGCAAACTAAGGCCCGTGGGCCTGATCAGACCCAACTGCCTTCTGGATCCGGCCCGCAGACGGTCTGGGAATCGCAGGGTGGATCGCCAGTGCACACGTTCTTTCCCTCTTCCTCCTCCTGGTTTCTCCCCACCCTGCCTAGAGGAGGAAGGGGGCTGGGCTGTACTGGCAGCAGCAGCAGCAGTGCCCGAGCAGCCGCCATTTTAAGCAGCCCCTCTCCAGAGCCCTTTCACGTGCCACTCATCATCCCGCCACCGCCGGCCCCTGCCGCTCACACGACACAGGTAAGCAGCCACCGGGGCTCGTGGTCTCTTGCATCATCATTTTTTTCCAAAATATAGTCCAGCCCCTCACAAGGTCTGAGGGACAGTGGACTGGCCGCCAGCTGAAAAAGTATGCTGACCCCTGCTTCAGGGGGTCTGCTCCACAAATGTTTCAAGAGGTATGTGAACAAGCTTGCTGCACAGTCAGATGTTAGTGCAGCATTCACCCCACAGACTGGCTGCATGGTGAGGAGGCAGCCTTGCAATGCCCACTCATACCCGGGATTGATGAGTGAACCGAGGCAAAGCCTAGAACCTGAAACTGAGCATCACCAGAAGGAAGGGCCATGGCTGAACTTTACAGCCTTTGCTTTGCATGCAAAAGGTCCCAGGTTCAGTCCTGAGTGTCTCGAAGGAGGGCTGGCAAAGACTGCTGCCTGAAACTCCGACGAACCCCTGTCAGTCACCGCTGACAACAATGGTCTGGCTCAGTGCAAGGCAGCTTCCTGTTCTCCTAACAGATACTACTCAGTAAGGCTAAGGCAAATGATATGCATCTCATAGTTTCATTTGGAAACATACTTGTTATGACCTATCATGGATAGAGCGTTGGACAAGGACCCGGGAGAGCAAGATTCGAATCCCCCCTCTGCCAAGAAGCTCACTGAGTGATATTGGGCCATTCACCACCTCTTAGCCTGATCTACCTTGAGCTCCTTGGAAGATAAAGGTGCTATATAAATGTGATGAATGAATGATGTTTTACACAGTACATTGAAACATGCTTTACATTTATTTCTTGGCTTAACTGCGCAGAAAACCACATGATAGGTGCAACCATATAACACAAATGTCTCTGATAAGGACAATGACCAATGTAACATGCAACAGGGAGTTTAGATAGATATAACTCAACTTGTGTAAGTGAGTAATAGGTAAGAACACTTTATAATGTTCTATTTTCAATTATTTTTTATCAAATAACCAATCAACCATATACATTCTTGATTATTGGTATAATCCAGAGGAAAACAGGCATGATTTCATCTTTCTATATCAAAAGAGCTTGCATAGCTACTTAAATCTAAACTGATTTCAGCAGAATTTATAATGCAGCCTGGATTCTTTCCTATTTTAATCCACTGAGAGAACCTTTTATTTCTTTGAGAAATTAAAGGACGGCCTGTGTCAAAAGTTTAGAGGAAGAGAAGACATTCATACAGGTCCATTTAGATAAATAAGAAGCCAGGATGCTAAGCACCATGCAACTAGCTGGTAGGACAGTTTAGTTGGCAGAGCATGAGACTCTTAATTTTTGGGTCATGGATTTGAGTCCCACATTGGGCAAAAAGATTCCTGCATTGCAGGGGTTGGAATAGATGACCCTCGTGGTCCCTTCCAATTCTACAATTCTATGATTCCACACCAAGAGGCCTTTTATGTATTTCTGGTACAGTAACCTCCTACGCATTTGAACCTGATTCCAAAAGTAGTATACGATATGACACGGAGCATTGCTGTTTGGAACTCCAGGCAATATAAAATTTTGCTTACCTATTATCCGATGGCAGAAGGGAAAGTAATGCCAAAGCTGAAAGTTTTCTCCTCTCTGGCTGAGTTATATTGTCCATGCGGTCAACCCACATTTCAATCATGCGACCAAGGAGCTGGTGAGGCTAGAAAAAACAATAGATTGCTGAAAATCTTATTTATAAGCAATACGGTAATCAAACTACTTAGCCATTTTACAACTGGTGGGTAGAAATGAAAAAGTATGATTTCTTATTCAGAAGTTCTTGTTACTATGAGAAGCCTAAGTGATTAACTTGGATCTAAAGTTTTTTGCATAACATTCTAACTCTATAACTGGGATGATCATATACACACATGTATATAAATATATAACTATAACTGGTGTTTGTGTGTGCATGTATACACACACACACACACACACACACACACACACACAATTGTGTTAAATATTAGTGTTCCATTTCACAAGGATAAGTTCAAACAAAACTCCATTGAATCAGCTCTATAGCAAAAGGGGATGCCAACACGGACTTTGTAAAATCCTTTATTTCCGGTAGCTTCATGTGATTGTATATTTATCCACTATGAAATCAATTTAAAAAACCAATTCAAATTTGTCATTTATTTGACTATAATGGGATTGCTAAGCAGCGGAAAACATTTATCTTTAAGGGTATCCCTTGCTGCATGAAACTTCATTTCCTTGGATAGAAATAGTATAAAATTAACAAGCCAGCTATTTCTCAGCATCACACAGAAAACACTTGCTTTAACAGAATATTGTTTGCTATTAAAATTAATTTAACTTAGCTGGGAACCATATGATTTTTTATTTTTTAAAAAAAAAGTCATGGTGATCGTTTAAAAAGGGAAAGTGAACACAGATGTCTCCTTATCTGCAGCTGAATGATACTTCCAATTACCTTATTAAAAGACTCCAGGTGCTATTACTGACATTTTTGTTGAATAAATAGCTACCTATATTGAGCTATAGCTGGAATCAAAATAATTGTGGGTGGTATTCTGCATAGATGTGGCTTTTCAGTGGCAGCTCCCCACATCTCTGAAACCCCCTCCCTTTGAACACTGAAAACCCTCTGGAACAGCCTCCAATGAGACACGAGAGTCTACCATCAGAAGGAAAGAGCTTTGCTACTATAAATGGACCAGGATCCCACATCCAAGACAAGGATGAGTAATCAGAAGTGGTCTGATTATTTGCTCCTTAAGCACTAAAACTGTAGACTTGGGTGTCTTGAAGCAATGTGATGTTTTGCTTTTATCTTCAAAGTCTTAAAAAGCCCATGGCGTGCACTCAGGATATTTCTCTATCCTCCTCAAACCAGAAGACTCAGAAAGCTATGGCTCATAGCTATGAACAAATGCAGTACAAAATAGGATCCAGAGAGGTTATGTGGTGGAAGGAAATATGATTTGTACAACCAACTTATGTCCTGCATATATAACTAATTCAACATTGTAAAATGTAAGGACTTACCTCCTGGCCAGACTCACATGCCATCTGGTTCAGAAGCAATGAGAAAAAACTTTTATTTTGCAACAAGACTCTACCAATGACTCCCAAGTAAGTAGACATTACAACTGGGTACCTCTGAAATGAAAACAGTTAATCTTAGCTTTCCTATCAGGCAGCAAAATATAAACATGATAAAAGCATACTGCAGAAAATGAATAAGAGAACAATCAAACAAGTTAGAAATCTAACAGCACACCACCAATAAACATGCATGGACATCAATTATAATTAAATCACTTCCTATTTTAAGCAAATACTGACTTGCACAGTTTAGCTGTGTAAACACTGACTTGAAAGACTGTCACTGATGTTCAAACAATACCCTGTGAGATAAAGTAGGCAGCCACATCCTCCCTATTTGGCAGACAATCCCAACTATTGGCTATGAAAGGCACATACAATGCTGAAAATTGGAGATGAAAAATACTATAGCACAACCAAAGCACTGAACTATCTTTGTACGGCATTCCATCCAGTTGGCCCTTTGCCATGCTACTTTGGATTGCAGTGCCTAGGGCTCATGGGAAGAGGGTCCTCCTCCTCCTCCTCCATCATACACAGGAGACTGCCTTCCTAGTCCTGCTAGCTATGGTCCATCACAGAAATTCACTGGTAACTACAGATTTCTGTATCTCTTTTCGAGTCATCCTCTGAGGCCCTTCTTTGTGCGTGTCTGTGAGAGAGGTCCGGAGGGTGGCAACATAAGAACAGGCCTTTTCTGCGGTTGCTCCCCATTTGTGGAATGATCTCCCCAGGGAGACTTGCCTGGCACCTTCATTACATGTCTTCAGGTGCCAGGCAAAAACGCTTCTCTTTAACCAGGCCTCTGGATGATTAACATTCTATGGCTTTTTAAATGTGTTTGTGGGAGAGAAGGTTATGGGTTTGGTTTTGGTTTTGTTCACATTAGATATTCTGTGTTTTCATTTTGTATTTTTATGTTGTGAACCGCCCTGTCGTCTTTGGATTAAGGGCAGTATACAAATTTAATTAATAAATAATAATAATAATAATTCTCTTCCCATAACACTATTGCTAATGGCACTGTGCACACTCTGGATTGCAATATACTACTTGACAGCAACAATAACTGAAAGTATAGGCTACATATAAACTTCCAAGGAAATGTTATTGCATTTAAAGGCCAAGCAGAATTGTTACAAAGTTTGCTTCTGATATTGTACACATCATTAGGAAAAGTTTGTTCCAAAACTTCAGATATGAGATAGAAGTACTGAATTTCATCAGTGAATATGAGATTTATACAACAGCACCCCTGGCTGGAGGAAGATAGAATTATAAGCAAAAGAAACTTAGGCTGTTTTTGCATAATCGAATTTTTTCATCACTAGTGAGTGTACGTTATAGCTAGAATGTATATTATTCTGCCTCCTTCTCCATTTTGGAGATGAAGAAGATGGATAATAGGTTTTCACCATCTAATAAACCAGGGCTTTCCCCCTCTACTTTGAAAAAGTGCTATTAATCCAACAAGTAGCTCATTGTTGCTATTCTCAGTGGTAACACTTCTCATTGCCAAGATTGTATGGAACGGTGTAGTGAAGTGACACAAATGGCTGAAAAAACAATCACTAGATGTGTTAAATTATGTTATTTTAACGCGTCCTATTATCAACTGCGGGCTATTTGAGGACGTTGCATTTGGAGTGTGAAAAATGGGCTATGAAACAGCTTAGCAGAGAAGTGATTGAAAACCCTTTAAACAAGAAAGAGTAGTTCTGCTGCATTTGAAAGACTAATCCCAACCAAAAAATGAACCAAAATTACAAGTATATGGTTTCAATTATGGGATGTGAAATTTCAAATAAGAAATCAAAATAATCTTGTGTAAAGGCATCCTTTTGGCTCAATTTCTTTTTCTTTAAAACAATAGGAATTGCTGCAATTTCCTGTTTTTCATCACAGGAAAGGATAATGTCTATCCTTCAGGAAGTATTTCATTATAGAATTTTAGGAAAAGCCAAATGCTCTGCTAAGTCCAAGGCAACAGCAGGGTATGTGCTTCCTGGAGAAGCAGGAATACCTTCCAAACAGCATGAGAATGTATAATTTTTAGTACAGCATGTATATTTTAAAAAAAAAAAAAGCCCACCCTCTTTCATGAAGAACTCAAATGCAGACAAAAAATTATCTCTTCAACACTTTATCTGGAGCTACATTTTAACACACAATATACTGTAAATTGTAATTTCTCTTATTATGCCAGTGAATGTTAAGTGGGGTTTCTGTAAAAAATATATTAAAAATAAAACCATAATTAGTTACATAAAAGTGTAGGAAATAATCCACAGTAGCAGTGCAATCCTATCCATGTCTACTTGGAACCAGTTCAAGTGAACATATGCCCAGAAAAATGATAGGATTGCAAGAAGCATTTTATTTATATATAATAATAGTACCACAACGGGTCAGTGCATTTGGTTGTTAACCAGAAGGTTGGTGGTTCAAGCTGACCCAGGGGTGGCTGTGAGCAGGATTCCTGCATTGCAGAGGGTTGGACTAGATGACCCTCGGGGTCCCTTCTATGATACTACCTGCTAATATTATTTTGGGTTTAAGGCAGTAGACATATCCTCATATGCAATTCAGCAACTGTCAGAGTATCATTGCATTGCTGTTTTCTGCTGAGCTCTGGAAGCCACATACTGCCAGAAATAAGCAACACTACCAAGAGGGGTAGCAAGGATGTGACTGTGGCAGTTTGCCTTGGCCTTAAAGGGCTAAGAGAGGGCTAACAGCAGCATGGTGAACTTTCCAGCAGGAGTGTGCACAAAAGAAAATATTCAGATAGGATCCTGTTTTGGAGTTTTGAAAAATCAGAAGAGCGGTAGTCTCGTAATCTGGGGAACCGGGTTCGCGTCTCCGCTCCTCCACATGCAGCTGCTGGGTGACCTTGGGCCAGTCACACTTCTCTGAAGTCTCTCAGCCCCACTCACCTCACAGAGTGTTTGTTGTGAGGGAGGAGGGGAAAGGAGATTGTTAGCTGCTTTGAGACACCTTAGGGTAGTGATAAAGCGGGATATCAAATCCAAACTCTAATTCATGGGTAGGCAAACTAAGGCCCAGGGGCCAGATCCGGCCCAATCGTCTTCTAAATCCGGCCCATGGACGGTCCGGAAATCAGCGTGTTTTTACATGAGTAGAATGTGTGCTTTTATTTAAAATGCATCTCTGGGTTATTTGTGGGGCATAGGAATTCATTCATTCCCCCCCTTCAAAATATAGTCCCCCCCCCAGGTCTGAGGGACAGTGGACCGGCCCCCTGCTGAAAAAGTTTGCTGACCCTTGGCCTAATTGGATGAAATTAGCAAAAATGGTAGCCCCTTTATGAATTTTGCTGAATTTCAGAAAGATAAGTGTGGGGCATTTTGCGCCAGGCACCTTCAAACTTGAACATAGGGTAAAAAGAGGATCACCTCAGCCCCTGTTGTTTTGTTGGCAATTTGTTGGTGGATG